AACTACTCTGAGTGTTGTAGGGACTAAATGAGATGATGCATTAAAGTGCTTATCCCAGTGACTGGCCCAGAGGCAGTGCTCACTAAATCAGAGCTAATACTATTGGTGGTGGTGGTGGTGGTGGTAATATACAGACACACACAAGGGTAGAGACACGCCAGTAAAAGCATTTGAGTCCCCTTTTATGCATGAAACAAAGATGTTAAAAGATTTCACCTTGTCCAGAGGTTTCTAGTACTCAGCCCACTTCTTGGTGGCTGCAACCTGGGACTTCGTCTTTAACCACCTGGTGGCAGCGTACCCAACTACAGGCAATGCACTTGTAGGCAGGGAGATGAGGGGATTCACATTTATTGATGGCTTCCTGTGTGCCAGATCTTCTCATAGTTGCTGTTTCAGCTCACCTTCATGACAACCCTTTGAATGAGGTGGATACAATATCCAATTCTAATTTTGCGGATGAGGAAAGTGAGGGTTAGAGAGGAGGAGTCACTTGCTCAAGGTCACATAGTAAATACAAGCCAAAGTCAAGATTCATATTCAGTTCTCTGTGAATATGGAGCCCATTTGATTTCCTGTTATCCCAAGAACCAAGGGCCTCATATGTACAGTAAATGTAAATGCATTATATTTTGGCAGTGACTTTTCTCCTTTCTCTCTGGCTCTGTATTTCTGTATTTATCTCTGCTGCTTTTCTCTCTCTCTCATCCTTTCCTTTCTCTCTCACACCTTTTAAGAGTCGGTCAGTAAGGCATACACATGTTCCCTCATGCAGCCCAGTCACCAGCTCCCTGTATGGTGCAGATGCCCCTTAGCCCCTATCCCTGTGAGTACACGTGAGCCCCCCCACCCCAGGTCCTACCCAACATGAATTGCCAGGTTGATCACCCTGTGACGTTGTCTCTGCAGGGGACCCTCTTGAGAAAACATGGCAAGGGATTAGAAAAGGTAATGAGGGCCTCGCCCCCACTGAGGCCCCAAGCTCTGGTGTCTGCTCGTGTGTGTGTATGTGTATGTCTGTGTGTGCATGGGCAGGAAGGCCAGTGGAGGGTGTGGGTAGGAGGCGGGCATCCTAACCAAGTCCCACAAAACTAGAAATCAGAGACAAAGTGATTCCCCAAGGACACAACTTGGAGTGTGAGTGCCGGTGTGAGCAAAGAGATGTGCAGAGACAGCTCCCACCCTCTCATAACAATACCCAAGGGGCTCATCCCAGCCTGGGGCTGAGCCAAAACTCTCTGGCTTTGCAAAGCTCCCAGACACTGGGCCACTGCCCTGAGCTGGGGCATGTGTTGTTTTATGTGGACTTTGTTTTAATGGCTGTAAGGTGATGGGAGCTGTGGCAGCACCCAGGAAGCTGCCCTACTGAGCACTTGTGCAAAAACTGTCATGTCTGTGTGCACACAGATGAGATCTCAGCTTCATGATCTTGGGCTATAGGGCTTCCCCACTCACTTAGCCAGCTCCGTTGGGGGCACGTCTATGTGCCAGGCACCATATACACATATGTGAATGCGTGGGGTGTAGAAGTGTGTGGGTTTGTGTGTGTGTGATTGTGCACACACGTGCAAGTGTTCAGGAGTTCACACGTGTATTTTAGCGTGAGTTCTTCTGCATATGTGTATGTATGTGTATGTTGACCTGGCTGTGTGCATGCATGAACTTTCTGAATATGCATGTGGACTGGCCTGGGTGTATCGTCTGTTGCGTGTACTGGAAATACCTGTTGGTATGTTTCTTTTTGAGTCAGGCTGGGGTAAGACATTGGACGTTGGGGGAGGAGAGACCCCAAACTCCCTGTCTCCTCTCGCCAGCCCCAAGGGCCCTCATCCCAGAGTGGACTGACTGTGGGATCAGGCCACTTGTCCCCAGGTGAGGGGCTCATTCCCACCTCCTCGGCACCCCTAGAGTGCCCTGGCAATCCAGGAGTCTTTCCCTTGCCCCCCACTGAGGGGCAAGGGAAAATACCCACCTGGGGAGGGGACCCGGGACCCAGGAGGGAGCTCATGGGCTGGAGAGTGGGACTGTGCTTTGAGGGAGTAGGGAAGTCTCATTGAATATCCCCCTAGCAACCACGGAAATTCTGACCTCCGCCTGATTCTCTCCACAGGGCAGGGTGAAATTGCCAAGCCACTCAGACGTAAGACCGGCCTCTCACTGTCTGTCTGGCTCCCACCCCCACCCACCCCGTGCCCCTCACCTCTGTGGTCCGTGCCGTGTGGGGGCCCACTGTGAACTTGTCTGTCGGTCTCTTCTTCCTTTGTCTGTCTGGCTTGCTCGTGGGGGATGGTGGGCAGGGAGTGGTGGGTGGGGAGGAAGTTGTTCTCACCGGACTGCAGATGGAAGTAGCAGGGGAAATGGAGGCTCAGATAGCGGGGCTCCTGAGTAGCTGTGCCTTGTGAGAACCTCAAGGAACTGCAGACAAGAAATAAGAATAGTAATATCATAATACCAGTAGAAGCGGCAGAGTGGCTAACTCTTAGCCTATCAACGTAATTCCAAATGTCCCAGCTGTAAAAGCACCCCTCCTTGCCTAGCCCAGCCTAGGACCCCCCAGGTTGCAGAAATGCAGGGCTTCTGACCTTGCCTATAATCAGCCCCACCGCAAGCCCAAACTAGCCTCATATCCCAATTATCCAGGCCCAGAGAGGATCAGCTCACGGACATGCCAAGGTCATACAGGATGGTGATAGAGGAAACAGGGAGGGGGCAGGAGATGTGACTGCCAGGCTGGGACCTTGTCTTCTCCAGCACCACCCATGACCTTCAGAAGGTTACACCAAGTGATAACAACGAACACTGAGCAAAGACATTTAGTCCCAACTGAGTGAGGAAGGGGACATGATTTCCCCCATCTAGGTGGCAAAAGTAAGGCTCAGAGAGGTTAAGTGACTTGCCCAGGGCCACACAGCAGGACTGGAATTTGAACCCAGGCCCCCCTGGGCCATAATCACTATACCATGTTTGCGATGCCTGTTTTGGGGAGTGATGGGGGATGGGTCCTGAGGTGTGTGTTTGGTGGAGGGGATAGTCTTCCTCAAAAAGGTCAGAGTAACAGTGCCACCAGCTTCCCCAGGGTAATTCCTCTCCCCAAAGGGAGGGTGGTCCCATGGGAGGAGGAAGGGTTTCACCAGAGTCATTTCCCAAGACCCTGGCCCATCCTGTGGTTTTCCCAAGGCCCCTGACCTGGGACAGGCAAACTCAACTCCCTACACCCCACCCCAATATCTGGGACTCCATCTCACCCACTGCCCCTCAAAGCCCGCTCCCTGCCCATTTCTCTTCTCTGATCCCACAAACCTAGGGTCATGGTAGGGATGGGAGGGTTGGCAGAGAACCCATGGGTCTTGGGTTTTGAGGGATGAGGTCATCACCTCCTTCACAGCACTTCCTGGGGGACTTCAGACTTCTGTCCCCTCTGGGGACACTGCCCTGCCCAGAGCCTTTGGACAAGGACCAAGATGGCATTCAGGGCTGGGGTGTCAGCAGGGTGCTTGGGGACTGGGCTGGCAGGATCCCTGCCCTCATCCCAGCTATGTCTGTTGTTACCTGCAGGGAACCCAGATGATCTTCAATGCAGCCAAGGAGCTGGGTCAACTGTCCAAACTCAAGGTGAGGCCAGAGGTGGGGATGGGGAATTTAGGGGAGGGGAGATGTCCCAGGATGATGACATGCTTTGTAGGCTCAAGGGACAAAAACCCAGTACAGACTGACTCAGGCACAATTTATTGGCTATAATGTGTTAGGAAGATGTGCAAGGACCAGCTTCAGATACAGCCCCATCAAAGTGTCTGTCTTAGTTACCTAGTGCTGCTGTAACAGCAATACCACAAGCAGGTGGCTTTAAAGAGCAGAAATTTATTTTCTCACAGTTCATGAGACTGCAAGTCCAAATTCAGGGCACTAGCTCTAGGGGAAGATCCTTGTCTTTTTCAGCTTCTGTAGCCCCAGCATTCCTGGGTTCCTTGGTGATCTCCCGGTGGCATCTGTCTTCCCCCATTTGTGCTCCCTCCTGTGTCTGATCTGCCCTTTTTATAAATCAGAAGCAATTAGATTTAAGACCCACCCTACACTGATAATGACCTTGTTAACATAACAAGGAAAACTCTATTCCCAAAAAGGATCACATCCACAGGCACAGCGGTTAGGTTCCAACACATATTTGGGGAGGATACAATTCAATCCATAACAGGGGGCACATCATTTTTTCAACAAATATTTATTGAGTGCTTGCTGTGTACCAGTTACATGCTGGGCACTGAGGAGACAGTAATGAAAAGACAGACCCAATCTCCAACCCCTCCAAAGCATAAAAGGGACGAGACCCATAGGCAGGCAGATCCCCAAGGTGGTGCCTGCTCTGCCCACCTGGCCCTTTCTCCATCCGTCCAGGACCACATGGTGCGAGAAGAAGCCAAGAGCTTGACCCCAAAGCAGTGTGCCGTTGTCGAGCTAGCTCTGGACACCATCAAGGTGAGATTCCCCACCCCTGCCCCTACCACATGCAGCAGGCAGAGGGTGTGGCTGGTGTGGACATGGACCTAGGCTCAGACCCACATGGATTCATTCCATTTATAAACACTCCCTGATGCCCCTTCTGTGCCAGAGCCATTCTGGGTGATGTCAGCGCCCTGAGGAGCCCCAGTCTGAGGGAAACACCTGGATACAGACATCTCTAGCCCTGTGGGGTCAAGGGCTGGGGTAAAGGGAAGGACGGAAACTGGGGGAGCCCAGGGGGGGAGCAGTGAGAACTTCCTGGAGGGGGGATATGAAAGATGGGTTTTGAGGAATGCATAGGAGTTCACCAGGCAAAGCAGGACATGTACAAAGGCTCTGAGACAAGAATGAGAGGAGAGCAGCAGAGCCTAACTTTAGTGTTTTGAATCCCCCACGGCTGGCCTTCGAATGGGTGGCCATTGAGTGCCATTCTCACCTTCCCACCCTTCTTCCAGCAATACTTCCACGCGGGTGGCGTGGGCCTCAAGAAGACCTTCCTGGAGAAGAGCCCGGACCTGCAGTCCCTGCGCTATGCGCTGTCTCTCTACACACAGGCCACCGACCTGCTCATCAAGACTTTCGTGCAGACGCAGGCGGCCCAGGGTAAGCGCGCCGCCTCGCCCGCGGGACACACCCCCGCCCGCAGGGCCAGCCCAGTCTCTGAGCCGCAAGGAGCCTGTGCGGCCGCCATTGGCTCACCTCTCTGTCCTCTGTGACGTCATGGGCCGGGCAGTAATTGATAACTCCAGGGCACGCGGGAGCTCTGTAATGCCGGGGGGCCATTGAGAAGTGGACAGGCCCTGGAGTCGGAACCTATGACGTCATAGGACCAGGAGGTGATCGTTATCTCCTGGGAGGACCTTGACGTCAGGGACCAGGGAGTGACTGACAACTTTTGGGGGGCGAGACCTCGACGTCAATGTGTTAGAGAGTGATTGACAGCTCTGCGGCAGGACCACTTTGACCACAGGGACCAGGGAGTGATTGACAACTCCTGGGGGCGGCACCCTGGTGGTGGTGTGGTTAAGAGCAGCTGCTAACCGTAAGGTCGGCAGTTCGGATCCACCAGCCGCTCCTTGGAAACCCTATGAAGCAGTTCTACTCTGTCTTATAGGGTCTCTATGAGTCGGAGTCGACTCGACAGCAACAGGTTTGGGTTTGGTTTAGGGGCAGGACCTAGAGGTCATAGGATCAGGGAGTGATTGATAGATCCGGGGGCCGGAGGGACCTCTAACGTCCCTGTGCCAGGAAGTGATTGACAGCTCTGGTATGGGTGGGACCTGTGACATTTTGCAGCCAGGAATGATAGACAGCTCTGGGCGGGACCTCTGACCTGTGACCAAGGAATAATTGACAGCCCCAGGGGGTGTGAGGGACCCCAACCTAGAGGGTGGATGAAGAGGGAGACCTGCTTTCTCAAAATCTGTCTCCTGTTGCCTCTGTCTCCTGTCGCTCTTGGAGCTTACTCCCAGTAGCTGGAGCTGGGGGGCAGGACTCCCGGGTCTTCTTTCCCCTCCCTGAGGGCGCTTTTTTCGCAATTGACCTAAGGAGGGGTGCTCTGGAGCCCGGAGATAGGGGAGAGACTTCGGGGGAGCCCCGCAGCCTCGGGCGCCCTCCACTCCTTCACGCAGGACCCTCCGGGCGCCTTGCTCCCGCGCTCAGCTCCCCGCCCCCAGCCCTCGCTGCTTTTAGTGTCACTGGCGTCGCCCCGGAGCAGGAGGCCGTCTGTCCGTCCGTCTGCCGCTGACGTTTCTCTCTCTCTTGTTTCTCCTCCCTCTCACTCGCCGACCCTCCGCGCCTCTCCCGCTCCCCGCCACGCACTCGCCCCTCCATCCTCTCGCTCGTCTCCGTCTCTCCGTCCTCTCCCCCTCCCCGCCTCTCTCCTCCGCCCCTGATTAGTCCATGGTGGCAAAGGGACTAGGTTTACCCTTAGTGAAGAAATTTATCCTGAGAAGGGTACGTGCCTCCGCCTCCCGCCCGCCGCGCCCGGTGCCCGGTGCCTGCGCCCCTCCCGGCCCCCGGCTAGTAAAAAGCTCGTCCTTCCGCCTCCCCGGCCCGCGGGCCAGGACCAGCGCTGCCAAGGCCACAGCTGGAGGCGGAAGGACGGGGTGCTGGTTCCACCAGGGGAAGGAGAAGCGACTGGAGTTGATCCAGTTGTCCCTAGGCGCACGTCTTAATCCAGGTCCCAGGTCCCCGGACAAGCCACCTGTGTTGTCAAGAGTGGGGCTCAGATCTGGGGCCAGTGGCTGCCTCCCTGAGCCTCAGTTTTCTCATCTGTAAAATGGGGACAGTCATGGACCCTACTTCATGGGATTACTTTTAGGATTAGATGAGTTCGATTGAGAGACTTCTTGGCATGTAACAAGCTCGAAACAATTATTAGGTGTTATTATTACCATAGGAGTCCCTGAGTGGCACAAATGGCTAAGCTCTGGACTACTAACAGAAAGGTTGGTGGTTCAGACCCACCCAGAGGTGCCTCGGAAGAAAGGCCTGATGATCTGCTTCCTTGAAAACCCTATGGAGCACAGTTCTACTCTGCACATGTGTGTCGCCATGAGTTGGAATCGGCTCCACAGCAGCTAACAACAGCATAATTATTATACTTGATGTCACTTTTCCCAGAATAGAAAACAACGAAAATTTCTGTCAGGCACTAACTCTCAGCCAGCCCCTGTGCTGGCTAAGAACTGTCTCAAAGATTAGTCCCATCTGCCCCATGAAGGGGTTCATCCCCCACAGATGAGGACGTTGAGTCTCAGTGGAGCTTAAGCCACTTGCCCAAGGAGCCCTTTCTGTGGGGGGCCTGGGAATTGGGAAGCGGGGAGTGGGGTTGGGGAAGCACAGAGAGACCAACGGAGGACCCTTCCCCTTGGAGCCAGCAAAGAACGGGACGGGGGCGCCCAGCACTGCCCCCCTCCCACCTTCTTACTAGCTTTGGCCTTGGTCTGACCCCTCACCTGACCCACCACTGTCCAACTCCACCCTGGCACCCCCAGTCTGGCCCAGATTGAGCTTGCTGCAAAGCATCAGCCTGGGGGGCAGTAAGGCTGAGCATGTGACTGGTGGGGGTGGGTGGGCGCCTGAGATGACCAGGAAGGTGGCTGGGGGTAGGCAGTGAAGATGGGGGGCACGCATCCCAGCACTGAGATGATGGGGGTCTCCAGGCCTCCTCTGCCACTAGCCTCAGTCACTTCCAGTCCAGCGCGAGGTAACCCAGATCAACCTTGGACCAACCCAATCCCCACCCCGACTTGCCCTTTGTTCCTCTCCCCATGCATGTGGGGCTCCAGGCGTGGGGAGCTGCCTGGGGGGCTGGGGAGGGGCTGGGTGGAGGTGCTGGCGGTCACAGGTCCCCAGGCCCAGCAGGACACCTTGCCTGGAGTCACAGAGGGAGGGATAGGGACAGAAACCTTTAAGCTGCCCCTTTAATCCCAATCCCCATACAGACCAAACAGGAGGCTTGCAGTGGTCAGAAAATAAGACACCCCACCCTGGCTCAGGCAAACAAGTGAATTTATTGGCCCTAGAACTGAAGACTAAATGTAGGGTTGGCATCAGGAATAGCTTGATCCAGAGCCTGTGAAAATACCATTGGTCATTGGTCTTAACAGTTAAATGACAGATTCTGGGCCAAGTTATATAAATCTTAAGATTTTATTTGGGAGTAAACCAAATTGCTGCAGTAAGAAAGCTTGGCACTTAAGAGGAGACGACAAGGAAACTTCAATTTGAGAAAGAGCAGTCTTTTTTTATAGAAACTTTGAGGAAGTTAGTTGGAAAAAATGGGATAGGATCTGGAATGTTGTCATTTAAATAAAGGCAGGTCCTTTCAAAGTGGGAACCCACCAGCCGCTCTTCAGCAGAAAGATAAGGCAGTTTGCTTCCAGAAAGTTTTACAGCGTTGGAAACCCTATGGGCAGTTCTACTCTGTCCTGTAGGGTCGCTATGAGTTGGAATCGACTCGAAGCCAATGGGTTTGGTTTTGGTTTGGTTTCAAAGAAGGAGCAAGTTTGTGATTGAGCTACATGTCCTTTTTTTCATTTGTAATAGATGCAAGTGTTCTTAGTTGTACTGTGAGGAAGTCTCAAGAGAACATGAGTTTAGAAAATACCAGTTAAATAAGGTTTACAGGTGGAAGTACCTAAGGCTGGTCTAGCCTGGTTATGTTCATTTCTGGTTGGCACTACTGACTCACTTTTCACCCTTGTTGGGAAGAGAAAGCCCTGGAAGTTCCACCATTGTCCCTGCCAGCTTAGCACCCACCCCCCTGCCCAAAGATGGAGACTCTTAACTACCAGTTCCAGCCAGAAGTTCCAGGGACAAGTCCAGTTGGTTCAGCTTGGGTCACATGACCATCCCTGGGCCAATCACTGCAGCTGTGCACAGGGAATGCTCTGATTTGGCACTTGTGGCTTATTTAGCCATACCTGAAGCTGGGATGGACCCCGCCCTACCTGAACTCCAGGTCTGAGGTGAGGGTGGGGCATTCCTCAACAGAATGTGGAGAATCTATATTGGAAGGGCAATGGTGTGGGGGCAAGGAAAATAATAGAGGTTCCTACAAGCTATCACTACAGGAGGGATGAGGATTCTGGGTCTGCAGCAGAGTCAGCAAGGGCAAGTGGAGGGAGATGTATCAGGAGGGACACTGTAGTCACAAAAAGGACTTTGATTATTACAGAGTGAGATGGGAGATATGGGAGGGTTTTGAGCAGAGGAGGGATGTGATCTGCCTTAATAATATTCCACTGGTGCGTTGAGAGCATCTGAGACGGGCAAGGGTGGAGGCAGGGAGATGAGGAAGGAGGCTGTCTTAGTTCCCTATTCTTCTGTAACATAAATACCACAAGTGGGTGGCTTTAAAGAACAGAAATTTATTTTCTCACAGTTCTGGAGGCTAAAAGTCCATATCAGGGTCTCAGCCGTATTGATTCCTTCCTTGTTGGTAGCCCAGGGTGGTCCTTGGTTCCTTGGTATTCCTTGACTTATAGATGATCCTCACACTAGTGTTTGTCTTCTCCCATGTGTGTGTCTGTGTCTATTCTGCCCTTTATAGAACTCAGAAGTAATTAGGTTTAGGATCCTCCCAACATTGGTATGATCTCAACTAACTGATGGATTACCTTACATTAGATTGCATTATGGAAAGTGATTACATTACATTATGGAATGTGATTATGTTACATTACATTATATTTACATTACTGTATTATGTACTGAAGGTGATTACAAAGGTTACTGCAGTAGTCCAGGTGAGTGGTGGTGGGAGCTAGAGCAGGATGGAGGCCAAGCAGGTGCATCAAATTTGGATATATTTGGAAGGGAGAACCGTCAGGTTTAGCCAATGTACCAGCACATAGGGGGAGAGTGAAACCAAAGAATGGGGTCAGGACTGAAGTGTGGGGCACCCCAACACTTTTAGGACCTATGACGGAGGAGGAACTGACAAAGGAGGGTGAGAACAAGCAACTAGTGTAGTAGGTTGAGAACCTGAAGAATGTGGCATCAAAGCCAAGAGAAGAAACTGAGGCACAGGAGGTCAGGGTGTCAGAGGCTACCAAGATGGTGTGTAAGATAAGGGCTGAGTTTTGACAACATGGCAGTCATTGGAACTACAGAAATGGAGGCAGATGGGTTAGACCCAGAGAAGTTAAGACATCTGCCCAATATCACATAGGAAGGTGGTAAAAGGCCAGAACCCAGTTGGCCCCCCAAGAGCACCTACCTTCCCCGCCCCCCTCAGTGCCACTCTGTTGGGACTGATGACCTGGTGCCACCAGCACATGGTGGGTGGGAGGCAGTCATGGTCCCTCCTGAAGGATGGGGATGAATGGAGCTCACACCAAGCATCCTCCCCTGCACCACCCAGGTTCGGGTGTGGAAGACCCTGTGGGTGAAGTCTCTGTCCACGTTGAGCTTTTCACTCATCCTGGAACTGGAGAACAGAAGGTCACAGTAAAAGGTGAGTGGCCTGAGGTAGGGGTAGGGATTGGGGGGGGTACCTCAGCCAGAACTCCTTAAATTCTGAGACAGAAACTCAATTCGAACTGGTTTAAGCAAGAAAAAAATATCTTGTGTAAGGGTTCATAAAACTGAAAAGTTCAGAGGCAAACCACTTTCAGGCATGGCTACATCCAGACTCAATCCCACTTCTCTCAATTCTGCTTACCTTTTTTTTGTTTGTTTGTTTTTATTCTGTGAATTAGAATGCAAGCTGGGCTGTTGTGTCCAAGTCCTAAAATAACAGTTGCTTAAACAAGACAGAATATCTTTTTCTCTGAGTGGTGCAAATGGTTAATGCACTTAGTTGCTAATTGAAAGGTTGAGGTTCAAGTTCACCCAGGGGCACCTCGCAAGAAAGGCCTGGCAATCTACTTCTGAAAAATCACCCATTGGAAATCCTATGGAGCCCAGTTATACTCTGACACACATGGGGTCACCAGGAGTTGGGAGTCACCTCTATGGGCACAGGTTTATTTTTTTCTGAGGTAACAATACAAGTGCAATCAGTCTAGAGCTGATGTGGCAGCTTTGCAGTATTGGAGATCCAGACCCCTTCCATCTTTTGTTGCGCTATCATCCCAAATGTGTTTTCCGTCTCTATAGGGTCTCAAAGAACTCAGCCCCGCACACTATTCCAGCCTGCAGCTAGGAAAATGACGTTTAGGGTACACTCCCTGCTTTTTAAAGCCACTACCGGAAAGCCGATACATCCCTTCCTCTCACATCTCATTGGCCAGAACTCACATGCTTAGCTGCAGGGGTTGCTGGGAAATGTAGTCTTTATATCAGACAGGCTTTGAAAACCACAGATGTCTACCAGGTCCTATTCAGGGACCCTGACTAGCCTTATCCTCTACTTTCCTGAACAGTGGTGGCTGCCAATGACCTCAAGTGGCAGACTTCTGGCATCTTCCGGCCGTTCATCGAGGTCAACATTATTGGGCCCCACCTCAGCGACAAGAAGCGCAAGTTTGCCACCAAATCAAAGAACAACAGTTGGGCCCCCAAGTACAACGAGAGCTTCCAGTTGTGAGTTTGGGATGCTTTGGGAGAGCATGGGGGAGTGGAAGGGAGGGGGTACTTGCCAGGAGAACCTCAGGGGCAAATAGGCAGGAGGAATTTCTGAGGGGCAGGAATGGGAGGGGCACATCCTGGGAGGGTGCAACAGTGAAGTCTGAAGTAACACTGGGATGGAGGTCACCTAGGGGGGCAGGCAGGTCCCAAGGAGGCAGTGAGTGTGATAAGGGGAATGGGGTGGGGAATGTGGGGGTCACGTGGTGATATGGGTTTCTGCAGGTGAAAGGGAAAGTCTGGGCAGAGGGTGTGTGGGTGGAGCCATTTCCGGGGACTCTGGTCTTGTTAAGGGGCATCGGTGGTCACAATGGGGTGTGAGAGGGGTTCAGGGGCACGGGGTAGGACTGGGGTCATTGGGGACAGGGACTCCTGGAGTCAGGAGTGGACCTTGCCAAGGCTGTTGGGATTTGGGATAGGCCACCTGGGGGAGTTGACTCTTGGGGACAAGAGTGTGCCTTGGTTGGGAGTTTAGGTATGTCATGTGGGGTGGGGTGGGGTCACATCCAAATGGGAGGTCCTGGAGTCAAGAGTGGATCTGGAGAGGGGCCACTGGGGAGAAGCAGTGTCACTTGGAGGGATCTTAAAGAGACAAGAGTGAGTGTGGTGGGGGTTGAGGTGGAGTCACCTGGCGAAGTGAGGTTCCTGATGAGCAGGAGTGAGCTTGGGTCTAGGGGGGGTTCTGAGGACCTGAGGGGCATAAATAGGTCAGGGTGTACTGGGAGTGGGTTACTTGGGCTGGGGTGGGGTCTTATGGGTTCTTTGGGTCAGGTGTGTGAAACTTATGGGGCATTAGGGCAGGGCAATGTTGGGAGTGCTCTTAGGGGAAACGAGTAATGAAGGGTACAGGGCATCACGGTGGGGATCACCTGGGAGTGATGGTGTCTCCTAGGATCCAAGAGTGTGAACAGGCCAGAATGATGTCATATTAGAGGGGTTTCTTGGTCAGAGGACTTTGGGGGGGAAGGTTACCTGAGATAAACCTCGGGAGAAGGAGCTCAGCTTAGATGGGGGCCAGGGGACCAGGTGTCACCTGGAGTGGGGCGGAGTAAGTTCAGGACTAGGAGTGCAACCTGCTTTGGGGGGAGGAACAGCAGGGAGCAGTGTGGGTGTGGCCTGAAGGGAGGGGGCTCTTGAGCAGGGAGCTTCAGGGCAGGTCACCTAGGGAGTGCTTGAGGGCAGGAGCCCAGAGTCATGGGAGAGGTGGCCCAGAGTGGGTGTCACCTCTGCTGAGACATTATGACAGATCATGTCAGGAGAGGGTCATGGGGAAAGGAGGGGCAAACTAGGGGACACATGGGGGATGCTTTGGGTTCAGGTGGGAGTTTGGTCAGGGCTTCTGTTTGGGCCATCTGGGGTGAGGTGGGGGAGCCAGAGGTTTGGCCAGCTAAGGGTTTGTGTGCAGGCATCTTGCGGTGTGGGCATGGCCTGGTATGGGGGTAATGAGGGAAGAGTCACTTAGGGTGGAGAACTTGGTTCAGCAGGGGTTGGGTGTAGGCCAGCGTCATTGCGTGGGGGTGGGCCCAGCCAGAGTCCCAGTGTGGTGGGAGTGTGGCCTGTCCTGGGGGATTTAGGGACAGGAATCATCAGGATTATGAGTGCCACTCCTCGAGGGCTGGGCTGGCCCACAGCAGAGGCGAAAAGGGTGGAGTCACCTGCTGTAAGTGTAGTCTAGAGTGGACATTGTGGGTTGGAGTCACCTAGGTTGGTGTAGGGCCCTCTGGAGTGCTGGCCGTCACGGGGCAGGGACGTGGTTTAGTGTGGAAGGTCATAGGGATGAGGGGGGTGTCAGCAGGTGTGAGCATGGCGCAGCGCAGGCCAAAAGTGGGCAGTCATGGGGGCGGGGTGCCACCTGGTGTGGGCGTGGCAAGCATAGGGTTGCAGGTGCGGAGTCACCTGGAGCAGGACATAACCTAGGGCAATCATCGGAGTGGAGTCACCTGGTGTGGGCATGGCCTGGGTTTTAGGGGGCCTCCGGGGCACATGTCATCATTTGGGCAGAAATGTGTTTCAGCATGGGAGGTCACGGGGATGGGGAGCTGTCACTTGGTGTGAGTGTGGCCTAGCGGGGGAGGGGGGAGGTCACCTGAGGAGGGGGCGATCTAGCGTCGGAAGTCATGAGAATGAGTGAGTGGGTCACCTGGTGTGGGCGTGACCCAGAGCATTTTCCGGATGTGGTCACCTGGGGCAGGGCATCACCTAATGGAGTGCAGGACTCACTGGGAGTGTGGGTCGGCCTAGAGTGGTAGATCATGAGGATGGGGAAGGCAGGTCACCTGGTGTGGGTGTGGCCTGGCGAGTTTGCAAGTGCATGGTCGCCTGGGATGGGGCATCACCAGGTGGGGCACTGGGGTCAGCCTAGAGTGGGAGGCCATGTTGCTGGGGGACAGGGATGAGGGTGTCACCTGGTATAGGTGTGGCCCAGCGCAGGGTTGTGGGGGCGTGATCACCTGGGCCGGGGCCAGGGCACACCTAGTGTCGAAGATCACAGGGTGGAGTCATCTGGCCTAATGTGGGCAGTCATGGGCTGGTGGGGGGGAGGGTATCACCTGGTGTGGGCGTGGCCCAGCGCGTGTTCAGGGGCCCCTCACGCCCCTCCCCCTGCAGCACACTGAGCGCGGACGCGGGCCCGGAGTGCTACGAGCTGCAGGTGTGCGTCAAGGACTACTGCTTTGCGCGCGAGGACCGCACCGTGGGGCTGGCCGTGCTGCAGCTACGCGAGCTGGCCCAGCGCGGGAGCGCCGCCTGCTGGCTGCCGCTCGGCCGCCGCATCCACATGGACGACACCGGCCTCACGGTGCTGCGCATCCTATCGCAGCGCAGCAACGACGAGGTGGCCAAGGAGTTCGTCAAGCTCAAGTCGGACACGCGCTCCGCCGAGGAGGGCGGTGCTGCGCCTGCGCCCTAGCGCGGGCCGGGCGGGCGGCACTGCGCCTGCGTGGGGGTGGGCGGGCGGCACTGTGCCTGCGCGGCGTCCTGGAATCGAGGTGGTGCTTGCCCGCTGGGACTTCGTGGAGGCCACGCCCCCACCCTCGACGCCGAGAGCACGCTGCGCCTGCGCCCTTAACTTAGTTCTCCCTCTGGGGAATTTTGAGCGGTCGTCGCCCCGCCCTCTCGTAGTGGCCGCGCCCTAGAGTGCGAAGAAGAAAGAAGCCACATCCCCTACTTGAGGCCACGCCCCCAGCGTCTAGGGGCCTCTGGAGCTGGGAAGGGAGTAAGTCCGGTCCCCTTGGAGAAGGCCACTCCCTCTTGGAGGAAGCCCCGCCCCTTGGAGGAAGCCACGCCTCTGTCCCTGGGAAAGCCATAAAGACGGGTATAAAAGCCCTCGGGGGCCCCAGACCAATTGCCAAGTATGGAACTCTCGGCTCCCTGGGGGCGGGGCCTGGGCAAGGGACACGGCTTCCTGGAACGCCCCCTGGAATATTTAGGGGCTGGAGGGCCTAAGAGGCAGATTGGGGGCTCCCTGGGAGGTCTGGAGTCCATTTGTATGTTTGTGCAAAAAATAAAAGGGGGGAGGGGGAACGAGGGGGTTTCAAAAGCACATGCGCCCTCGGGCGTCCACACCCTGGGGTCAGAGGGGACGACTCTGGGGCACCCGCGCAGCTCCCACTCCTTTATGCGGGTTCACCTTCCCTTCTCCCCCACATACCCAGCCCTTCCACATCATAGAATTCAACCTACCCATTGGACAGATCGCGAAACTGAGGCCCAGAGAGCTGCTGGAGACTGGCTGGAGGATCATAGTGCCACGCCCCCTCCCCACCCTCATCTGCCTCCATGCCTCATTGAAGGGTGGGCTGAGGTCGGGAAACCCACCTCAGCTCCTCATTGCTGCTAACTCCCCTTCGGGAGACCTCCCCCCATCCTTACAAGGAGTGGGGGTCCTGGGCCAAGGCCCCCACGGCCTCCTCCCTCCTCTGACTGTCAAACAAGACCCCTCTCCTCTGTCCTTTACCTAGGACCCCAGGGGGAATGCCCTGAGAAATCTTGACCTCTGCCCAAGAAAGAGGGAGGATCGGGGTCCCCTTGTCCCAGCCTCCCTTCCAACCCCTTCTTTCTCTCCCAGAGCCCTCCAGTCAGGAAAAAAAAACCGGAAAGCGACCAGAAATTCTAGGTGTGTGTGTGTGTGTGTGTGCATGTGAGAGTGAATAGTCAAGCATGTTTGGAGCTTATTCTTGAAAATCTCATTTGTTCATTCAAATGCCTAGGGGGCCCTCCCTGCCTGATGCTCTTCCTCCAGATGGTAATACTGGGGAAACTTCACTGGAAAGCTGAAGGTCCCCACATTTCAGCAGAATCTTTCAGGAAAGTTTTCCATCTACTAGTTTTGCAAGGAGCCCTGGTTGTGCAATGGTTAAGTGCTCAGCTGCTAACTAAAAGGTCAGTGGTTTGAGCCCACCAGCTGCCCCTATAGAGAAAGAACTGGCAATCTGCTCCTGTAAAGATTTCCGCCTAGGAAGCTCCGTAGGGCAGTTCTACTCTGTCCTATAGGGTCGCCGAGTTGTAATCAACTCGACAGCACACAACAAAATAGTTTTGTAAGGTTTATGTTTGGCTCCAGGTCCGCTTTTTGCATTGGACCTCCTGGATTGTGCTGAATGCTAGAGAGAAATTAAATGGGGGGCTGAGATGAAGAGTGGCTGGGCTCGTGTGGAGGGGAGGGGGATACCTTAGATGGAGGAAGTGAGCATTGAGAAGGAACCCCCACTGGAGAGACAAAAGCACCAGGCAGAGGGAAGAGCAAGTGCAAAGGCCCACGGGTTGGGAGGTTTGAGACACAGCGTGACCAGTATGGCTGGAGCAGAGTGAGTGAGGAGTAGTAGGGGGCGATTGGGACAGGGAGATCTGCAGAGATCAGACCAGGCAGGGCCTCATATGCAGCATCGAAGAGTTTAAGTTTGTCCCTAAGAGCCTGGGAAGTCACACAAGATTGTAAAGCTAGGGAAAGACATGATTGGATTTCACGTTTCAAAAGCTCCCTCTGGTTGCCTGTAGGAGAGTGGACCATTTGGGAGCAGGGGGAAGGGGACAGGAGAGGCAGCAGTGCTTTCGGGACACTGAAATGAATTCTTGGAAAGATTTTGGAGGATATTAACCCCTCCAAAAAAAAATCAGCCCTCAGATGAGCCCCAGGGCTGCTAAGTACATCCCCAGTTGTGCACTGTCCAAGGGGTCCAGCATCTCTGAGGAGGCCACGCACAAATCCTAGGTATTATAGAGTTGTATGTTTATGGTGATGGCTTCCTGACACATGGACAAGTGTCTAAGATCCCTGGGTGGTACAGACAGTTAAGTGCTCAGCTACTAACTGAAAGGTTGGCAGTTCAAACCCACCCAGAGGTGCCTTGGAAGAAAGGCATGGCAATCTGCTTCCAAAGGTCACAGCCATGAAAACCCTATGGAGCACGTTCTACTCTGACACACATGGGGTTGCCATGAGTTGGGAGCAACTCAACGGCCACTGATTTGTTTTCGTTTAGTTTTGCACAAGTATCTAGAGGAAGTGGCACCATTTTCTAATTTAGGTGGAGGAGCTGTGCGTCCCCAAAGTCCCCTAAATTCAGGCAAGATCGAATGACTCGAGGTTCTGATCCAGAGTTTAGGATGCAAGTTCTCACATGCGACAGTGGTCTCCAGCCAGGGGCGAGAGACAGCCTGGGTAGTGGTGAGGGGGGAGCTTGCAATCAGTCACATAAACTGAAGGGCGGAAGATTTAAAATCCCAACCAAGGGGACAGGGGGGAATTCAAGATTGAGAGCACCAGCAACGCCCAAAGGGGAAGTGATCTGTGGTGGGCCCTGAAAGATTTTTTTGGATAGGTGGCAGGAAGAAGGGAGTCTGGGAGAGCCAAGATCTTTCTCAAAAAGTTCCTTGGGACTCTCTCTTTCTTTCTCTCTCTCTGTGTGTGTGTGTGTGTATGTGTGTGTGTATGTGGTGTGTATGAGGAGGGTTCCCATCAGCACCCCAGTCACACAGGTGGAGCCTGAGGGAGTATTTGTTGAATGACTTTTTCTGACTCCCAGGCTAGAACTGTTTTAGAAATTTCCTCCTTTTTTTCTTTCCCTAGAGAACTATTCATCGTTCAAAACCCATCACAAATATCCCTTCCTGTAGGAAGCCCGCCCTGTTCTCCCTCAGCCTCTGTCTTCATTCTGGCCCAGCTCTGACCTCATGGGACTGGGGGTGTCTGTGTCCAGCTTTGTTTTCACAAGATTGGGGGCTGAGGCTTCTCGGGAGCCCTGACTTAACCCAGCACAGGGTGAGCAGAGAAGGGTAGCAGGGAGGGTTTCTCTAATTGAATTACGTCGGCGGGGGGGGGGGTCTGTGTGTGCCCATGCACCCACACTCACATCTATCTGTACCAACCTTCCCCTCCCACGCAGACCTGGGCACTTAGTAGGATTCACACCTGACAGAGGCTGAACACAGGAACAGAACAGAGAGAGAGGGTGAGAGAGGAGGGAGGAGGAGGAGGAGGATGGGAAAGAGCCCAAGAGGCTGGAAGGGGCTTCAACATCAGGCAGCTCCCGTACAGGGACTACAGGTTCCAGCAAGGAGCAGGGGTTCCCCAAGGCCCTGGATGCCTTGTCCGGACTTGACCACCTTGCCCTGGGTTCCAGGGGGTCTCAGGCGGGCCTGAGCCTAGTGGGTGCTCAGGGCTTTATTTAGACCTTGCTTCATGCAGGGAGCCAGCCCCAGATTTCCAGGGATCAGGGATGAGGATCCAGTGGGGTTGACCCGTGGGAGGGGGTGACATGAAGGGACTCCTGGGACAGAGACGCAGAGGGAATACACAGAGGCAACGAGGAGAAAGAAGGTAAGAATCGAGAGGGGGAGATGGTGCCCAGAGGGGGCCGGAGAAGGCCTGAAGAGAGGGAGAGGGAGACAGAGACAGAGAGAGAGATAGGGTAGAGAAATCCAGAGACAGAAAAGGGAGAGAGACAAAGGGAAGAGACAGAGACGGGAGGGAGGGAGACAGAGAAAAAGCACTAGGGATCCATAGGGAGGAGGGCCGCTGCTCACCCTCGGCTCCAGCAGTCTGCCCTCCAAGAAAAACCGCCAAGGCCTCAAGCCCCGGATTTCCATAAACGCAGCGGCGCCGGTGCCGGCTGCGCCTCCAAATCCCTCACTCGCTCAGGCTCCCGCGCTCCCCTCAGAGATGCAAAAAACTCCACACCCAGCCAGAAATCCTTGGGACCTCCGGCCGGGACCTAGGAGATCTTTATGCCCATCCTCCTCGCCCCATCCCCTTTGCACAAGGGGACACTGAGGGGCGGGGCAAAGTGGGGACAGCCCCGACTTGCCCCAACTCTGCAGCCAGAAGGGGAGGAGGAGGCGCGGGGTGGGGGCTCGGTTCTATCCCGAAAACCCTCCCCGCCGCCTGCCTCCTGGGCACCTCCCCTTTCCCTAAGAATCGTCAAGGACCAAAGTCGTCTTCGCTGACCTGACACGTGTTGCTTTTCTCTTTGCCTTTTCTTTGTTTAAAGAGAGAAATTAAGTTGACGGTGTCAAATAAGACCCCTATTCTTCCCCATCTCCCAGCCATAGGGGCTTCCTCGCGGCACAGGTCCGGCGGAGGGTCCCGCGTGCTTCCCGGCCACACAGGCAGGGGGACCCGGACTCACCCCTGTCCCCTCCAATCCCCCATCCCGGCCTGCGGTCCAGGGAGGCAGCCCATCCACGCACCTTCTTAGCATGTGATTGCCAATGTGAACTCTGAAATGTCGGGTTTTTTTTTGTTTGTTTGTTTGTTTTTTTAATTCCACCCTGTCAGTCTGGCGTCCACACAGACGCCCCATTTCTCTGTAAATATGTGACTTGGAACAAATGTTTAAAACAAACCAGAAGTGGTCATGGGTGCATGGTGTTGAGATGTTTTGCACTACTCTGACTTTTTGGTCTCTGTAA